GCTCCGGCGATCCTTCCACCTCAGCCTTCCAAGTAGCCGGAATTACAGGCATGCGCTACCACGCCCAGCTGATTTTTTGATTTATTGTAGAGATGAGGTCTCGCTGCCCAGGTGGGTCTCGAACCCACGGGCTCAGGCAATCCACTCACCTCAGCCTCCCAAAGGCGCGGGATTATAGGCTGAGCCACCGAGCCCGGCTGGGATTGTGCTTTTTATTTGGGTTTCTGTTTGTTTATTGTTGGTGTATATAAATGCAACTGATTTTTGCACATTATTTTGTAACCTGAGACTTTGCCAAAGTCCTTTATCAGTTCAAGGAGGTTTTTGACAGATTCTCTTGGGGTTTTGAGGTATAGCATCATATTGTCTGCAAAGAGGGATACCTTGACTTCCTCTTTTCCTATTTGGATACCCCTGATCTCCTTGTCTGATTGCTCTAGCTATGACTTCCTAAACTATATTGAAAAAGAGGGGTGAGAGTGGACATCCTTGTCTTGTTCTGGTTTTCAGGGGAAATAGTTCCAAATTTCTGTCTTTTCAGCAGTATGTTGACTGTGGGTTTCTCATAGATGGCTCTTACTATTTTGAGGTATGTTCCATCTATACCTAGATGTTCAAACATTTTTATCAAGAAGGGATGCTAGATTTTATCAAAAACTTTTTCCACGTCTAAAGATATAACTATGTGTTTTTTTTTTTTAAATATCTGTTGATGTATTTAATTACCTTTATGGTCTTACAAATGTTGAACCAGCCATGCATCCCAGGGATGAAGCCTGCTTGGTCATGGTGGATGATTTTGAGATGTGCTGTTGGGTCCGTTTTGCTAGGATCTTGTTGAGAGTTTTAGCATCTATGTTCATCAAGGATATTGGCCTGTAGCTCTCTTTCTTTGTTGGATCTTTACCTGGTTTGAGTATCAATGTGATGTTAGCTTCATAAAATGATTTGGGGAGAGTTCCATCTTTCTCAATTGCCTGGAATACTTTCAGTAGGATTGGTGTCAGTTCCTCCTTGTATGTTTTGTAGAATTCTGCTGGAGAGCTATCTTGTCCAGGGCCTTTTTGTAGGAAGTTTTCTTATGACATAGTCAATTTCCTGGATTGTTATTGGTCTATTTAGGGTCTCTATCTCTTCTTGTTTCAACCTGGGGAGGTTGTTTGATATCAGAAAGTCCTCCATTTTATTTAGATTTTCAAGTTTGTTTCCATACAAATGTACATAGTAGTCTCTGATAATCTGTTATATTTCTTTGGGGTCAGTTGTGACTTGATCTTTCGCATTTCAGATTGTGTTTATTTAGGTTTTTTTCTCTTTTTCTTGGTCAGTATAGCTAGGGGTCCATCAATCTTGTTTATCCTTTCAAAGAACCAGCTTTTTGTTTTGTTTGCTTTTTGTATTATCTTTTTCTCTTCTATGTCCCAAATTTGGGTTTTTATTTTGGTGATCTGGATTCTTCTGCTGAAGTTAGTATTTTGATGGTCTTGCTTTCCCAGCTTCCTCAGGTGATTTTTTTAGGTTAACTTGCAATCTTTCCATTTTCTTCATGTGTCTTTGTAGAGATATGAATTCCCCTCTTAATACTGCTTTCATGGCATCCCAGAGGTTTTGGTAAGATGTTCCTTTGTTTTCAGTTTTCAGTTGTTTCCAGGTATCTTTTAATGTCTGTTTTGATTTCTATGTTGATCCAGGAGTTGTTTAGCATCATGCTATTTAGTGTCCATGTCTTTGTGGGTTTGGGGGGAACTTTGTTGGTGTTGATATTTATTTTTATTCCACTGTGGTCTGAGAAGGTGCAGGACAGTATTTCAATCTTATGGAATTTGTTGATGCTTGATTTATGGCCAAGGATGTGATCGATCTTAGAGTATGTTCCGTGTGGTAATGAGTAGAATGTATTATCTGTGGTTGTTGGTTGGAATGTTCTGTAGGTATCAATTAAGTTCAGTTGGTCAAGCGTCATGTTGAGGTTCCATATCTCCTTGTTGATTTTTTGTCTTGATGATAACAGAGACTTTTTAAAGTGAATTAACTGGGGTTTGTGTTTTCTGTTTCCTGTATTTCAACACATCTACTTTAAGCCAAACCTAAATGTCCTTAATTGGTTTTTATTTATAATTCACTTTAAAAACGGGACCTATTTTGGAGGTCTAAAAAGAAAGTGCACATTCCCCCTTTTTTTCTCAAAGTAAAAAGGTAAAATTATCTCAAAACCATGCTGCTGCAGTTGTGCTCATCCTCTAAAGTTCTCTCTGGCAGGTCTGGGTCCTTCAGGGATTGTGGGGACCATGAGATATTTCACCCAATTCTTCCTTCCAGCTGAAAACATGGTCAGCACATATCAAAAGCTATCCTAGAAAAATAGAAACTTATATTAGAAATTAGTGTGTATAGGCTGGGCGCAGTGGTTCAAGTCTGTAATCTCAACACTTTGGGAGGTTGAGGGGAGAGGACTGCCTGAGCCCAGTTGTTCAAGATTAGCCTGGGCAACTTGGTGAGACCTTGTCTCTACAATAAATACAAAAATTAGCTGGAGTGGTGGTGTCTGCCTGTAGTTCCAGCTATTTGAAAAGCTGAAGTGGAAGGATAGCCTGAGCCCATCAAGTCAAGGTTGCGGTGACTGAGTGTGCCCCTGCACTCCAGCCTGGGTGACAGATTGAGACTCCAACTTAAAAAAAAAAACTGTGTGTGTGTGTGTGTGTGTGTGTGTGTGTGTGTGTGTATTTTGAGTCTGTTGTCCAGGCTGGAGTGTAGTGGCACAATCATGACTCATCACATGGGTTCCTGGGCTCAGGTGATCCTCCTCAGTCTCCTGGGTAGCTGGGACTACAGGTATGCACCACCATGCTGGACTAATTTTTTATTTTTATTTTTATTTTTAGAGATGAGGTCTCGCTATGTTGCTCAGTCTGTTCTCGAACTCCTGGGCTCAAACATTCCTCCCACCTTGGCCTCCCAAAGTGCTGGGATTACAGGCATGAGCCACCATGCCCAGTCAGAAATTAGTATTTTTTAAAACCTTCCTCCGTACTTGCTTTGGCAACACATATACTAAAACTGGAATGATACAGAGAAGATTATCAAGGCCCCTGCACCAGGATGACATACAAATTTGTGAAGCGTTTCTTATTTTTATCATTCTTCTCAGACCTAGAAACGACAATATCCATTAAACTATCAACATAATTCTTCTCAGACCGGGAAATGACACTACAGAAATTCATATGAAACATAAATGACCACAAATAGTCAAAAAAATCCTTAGAAAAAGAAGCAAAGTAGGAGATATCACACTTCCAGACTTTAAACTTCACTATAAGGCTACAATAAGCAAAACAACCTGGTATTGGTACAAGAACAGGCATATGGACCAATGGAACAGGATAGAGATTCCGGAAGCAAAATCTCACTTTCTCAACCAACTTGTCTTTGACAAAGCCTCCACCAACAACCACTGGGGAAGGGAGAACCTATTCAGTAAATGGTGCTGGGAAAACTAGCTAATCATTTGTGGAAGATTGAAACAGGACCCCTATCTGTTACCAGGCACAAAAGTCAACTCTAAATGGATCAAAGACTAAATGTAAAACCTCAAACTATAAGAATTCTAGAAAATGCAGGAGGCACCCTTATAGAAATCGGAGTAGGCAACCAATTCCCGATCAAAACCCCAAAAGCCCATGCCAAAAGAGATAAGGTAGACAAGTGGGACCTCATTAAACTGAAAAGCTTCTGCAAAGCAAAAGAAACCTCAAGAGCCAAGGAGACAGCCCACAGAATGGGGAAAAAAATTTTGCCAACTGTATATCTGACAAAGGCCTAACATCCAAGATCTAAAAGGAACTCAAATGTGCCAAAAGGAGAAAAACAAACACCTCCATTAAAAAGTGGGCAAAAGACATAGACATTTCTCAAAAGAAGATATATGGGCAGCCAACAGACACATGAAAAAGTGCCCAGCCTCACTAATCATCAGAGAAATGCAAATCAAACCACATTGAGATACCACCTAATCCCAGTAAGAATGGGCATCATTAATTAAAAAAAAACAAAAAACAACAGATGCTGGTGAGGATGTGGAGAAAAGAAAAAGCTTTTCTACACTGCTAGGGGCATGCAAACTATTTCAACCTGTATGGAAAACAGTGTGTGATTTCTAAAAGAACTAGAAATTGACTTTTCATATGACCCAGCAATCCCTCTACTGGGGATATACCCAGAGGAATGTAAACCATTACCTGCACACGCATGTTTATTGAAGCACTATTCACAATAGCAAAAACATGGAACCAACCATGCTACCTATCAAAACTGGACTGGATTTTAAAACTGTGGTACATATACATGATGGAATATTATGCAGCCATAAAGAAGGACAAACATATGGACTTTGCAGTAACTTTGATGGATTTAGATTCTATCATACTCAGTGATCTATCACAGAAACAAAGAACAAGGTACCATATGTTTTCACTCATAAGTGGACCCTGAACATTTATCATACTAATACAAGAAAAGAACTGGCAATAGTGGACGACTGCCAGGATGGGGGTGGGGACAAAATATCATTAAGGTTACCTGATTTCAAACCAGACAAAGTAGGGACCAAAGGAAGGCCCAGACTTTACCTGTTTGATTTCCACTTGTATACCTAATCCTGAATTGTACCCCACATCTTTAAAATAAAATATCTAAAAAATAAAAAAAGCTTTCCTCCATAAAAATACATTGCAAGTATATAATGTAAGCAAATGCATACAAAGATGTTTTCATTTCAAGAAATTCATTTTATTTCACAGCTTTCCTTCCCACCACAGCAAGTTATCGAAATGTGAGTTTAATTTTTTCTCAAAAGTGCAAATTGTTGCAATAATAGGAGAGTGGAGAAAAAGGAACAGATTATCTCTAAGGCTGCTTCCAAGCAGAAGGTTTTGTTTAAAAAAAAAGAAAAGAAAAGAAATACAGTAGTATTTTTGCCTATAACCAAAAAACTATCCTTTTTTCTCCAGAACAGAGATCTCTTTGTCCTCACGTATGGAGCCCTAGTTGCCCAGCTGTGTAAGGATTATGAAAAGGATGAAGATGTGAACCAGTACTTAGATAAGATGTAAGTGGAAGTCTTTTATTCTTGTGGAACACTCACCATTTCCTATCATTGCCTGCACTCTTTTCCACTTCTGATGGTATCACCAGTTCATCTGTCTCCATGAATCACATCTCAGACTGGGCAGAATTTCTCATAACTGCCATTTAAGTTGACAGTATGAAATCACAGGAGGGAACCATGTTCCTCGTGAATATCAAGTGTAGATTGTTTTATTTTTTGTTAGAAATTATTGTTGGGTACAGTGACTCATGTTTGTAATCCCAGCACTTTGGGAGGCAGGGGCAAGAGGGTTACCTGAGCCCAGGGGTTCTAGACTAGCCTGGACAACTTGATGAGAACTAATCTCTACAACTTAAAAAAATTAATCAGGCATGGTAGTGCCCACCAGTAGTTCCAACTACTCAAAAGACTGAGGTGGAAGGATCACCTGAGCCCAGGAGGTCAAAGCTGTGATGGCCATGAATGTGCCACTGTACTCCTGCCTGGGCGACAGAGTGAGACTCCGACAAATATATATATATATTTATTCACTTGCTATTCACTTATAAGCAAAGGGTGTGGTAAAACTGAAATTGTTCTCTTAATGTGATAGAACACCCAACTTTATTATTATCAGAAGTCTGTGTTCTAGCATAACTTCTTCCCATGTAAACATACGTTTACATGAGCACAGGCTGTCTATGGAAGGATACCCAGAAACTACCAAAGGTGGTTGCCCAGGAGGAGACCAAGAGATGATGGGCTGGAAAGATATTTATTTTTCCAACACAATATTTTTATTGTTTGACTGTTTTTATCATTACTATACTTTTCTTTACAAATATGTATTTTTACCATTCTTTCCTTTAGGAATAAAGCCTATTCCCTCTGTCTTTATGCTTGGTGAGTCCTCCCGCACAAATTCAACCTTTAATTTTCTCAAAATAATTATATGATCATCAGATTATTGCCAAACAATAAAATATCTGTCAACAGTTTTTTGGAATTTCATAATTATAAGCCCCAAAAATGACTTTAACAAAGCAATGACTAAAAAATGTGTACTGGTTAGATTTATTTTAGGAAGGTTGAAGAAGAAACTTAGCTTAGCATTTTAGAGCTTTTTAAAAAGGTTTATTGTATTTTCAGCTGACATGCAAAAAGAAAAAAAATGACCATGTGAAGAAAAGCTTGAAAGATCTTTTTATTTTTATTTATTTTATTTATTTATTTTATTTTTTGAGTTGGAGTCTCACTTGGTCGCCCAGACTGGAGTGCAGTGGACGCTCCCGGCCACCGCAGCCTCTACCTGCTGGGCTCCTGCGATCCTTCTGCCTCAGCCTTCCGAGTAGCTGGAATTACAGGCATGCGCTACCGTGCCTGGCTGATTTTTGATTTATTGTAGAGATGAAGTCTCGCTGCTGAGGCGGGTCTCGAACCCATGGGCTCAGGCAATCCACTCACCTCAGCCTCCCAAAGGCGCGGGATTACAGGCTGAGCCACCGAGCCTGGCGAAAGATCTTTTTTAAATCCTTGCTTTCATCCCTTTCTATATGCCTACTCTTTTTCTTCTTAAAAAGTTACTTTTTATTAATGTTGCTGGTACATATCTTTTTTTCTTTCTCATTTCTCCGTATTTAGTCAGGAGCCCAGCTGTCCACCTGTGGCCTTTCAGTCACTATCTTCACTGGCCTGTCTGCAGAAGCTGCCAAAGGTGTTGACACTTATGTCACACTTCAATACCTGACATAGCATTTCCAGAAATGGCTTCATTTTATCTGACTTATGTTAAATTTGCATGGTTTTGTGGAATACTTATAGAAAACAGAGAAGCTCATTTATCTGAATTATTTATTTGAGTTGGTTCTCTGAGTCCACATTTTAAACAATACGAATAAACATTAAAGAATAAATTTTGAGAGGCTGCAGAAAGACCTCTCCTTAGGAAAAAAAAATCACATTTAGCTTTCTTTAATAGCTTCTGCTGAGAGTCTTTTACATTTTTAATTTATAACATATTTACTTTGCAGAAACATGCCCTTTGACCAAAGCAATCTATATAGATGTAGCACTGCTCATACATTTTGGCTTCTTATCAAGGTTCCCGGTGGCTGGGCTGTGGATGTGCCTTATGATAATTAGAAAACACTGGAAACATTAAAAAAATCCTGGCACAACTATTTCTGTAAAGTAGACATCCTGTTCATTAAAAGTTCTGTGTGAGCTTCCCAGTTAGAATCACAAGCCATCTTTCTCTAAAGTCAAAGAAGCTACATGGAAGGTTTCTATTCTTTCAGAAATATGCACAGGTTAGCTCACAAGACTGAATGAATTTGTAAGCACTCTCACAGCAAATCCATCTCCCTGTGACCATCCAGTCACCAAGCCCTCCATCCCTCTTTCATCCTCTGGAGCAATTGTTGTCTCTGAAGCTGCGGTGTCTTCTCTTGCCAGGCCTTTTGTGGCTCCATCAGAAATCATTCACTTGTGCATGGGTGTGTGACTGTGAAGTTAAAAGACCAACTTTGTGCCAGAGTTTGGCAAAAACAGTATTCCTTTTTATCTTCACCACAAAAGTCCTATTTCTTCACCCAGACTAGATGTCCTCATGAGTCTGAGACTCTGGCCTTTCTCTGTATTCTACTTGGAAATCGAGTTGTTTCAGTCTTGAAAGTGAGTGTTCGACTAGCTCAGACATGGGCTTTGCTGTGTTCTCACATCTCAGCAAAAAGATGTTCAGAGCTGTACTTCACATTTTTCAAGCTATGTTCCTGGGCGAAGTGTACAGATTTATTCCCCTGGAATGAAAAATGAGTTTCTGAATTTGGCTTTTTTTCTCTCGGTAAACTTCAGAGTCCTGACTGCGAAAACCTTCACGGACAGCAATGAATGTCTTCCTGTTCCCTTCGTCCCCTCCTTCAGCCCCACCCTGGAAATGCCCACCCTGTTGCCAGAGCTGTGCTAAGGGAAGAGCAAGCATTAGGGTATCCCGGCTGCTGTGGACAAGTTAGTTAGATGCTTACCTGGCTTCTGTCGCAGCTGAGGATGAGTGTCGGCTGCCAGTGAAAAACACAGGACTGCAGACCCCCACCTTCATCCATCCCATTCACATTGTTGAGTTTGGGCCACACTTGGTTGTAGGCAGGTATCCCTGCTCTAGGAAGCCAGGCAGTACTTTCTGGGTGTGCTGCTCTCTGCTTCTGTGGTCTGAGGGATGAACAGGAAGCCCATTGCCAAAGGCCATGTGACTTGTCATGCTTGGTTATTCACTTGCCCAAGTCGAGTGTTAAATATACAAATTCATTCTCTCTCTCACTCTTTTTTTTGAGTCAGAGTCTCTGTTGGCCAGGCTGGAGTGCAGTGGCATGCTCACGGCCACTGCACCCTTGACCTCCTGGGCTCAGGCAATCCTTTCGCCTCAGCCTTCCAATTAGCTGGAACTACAGACATGCCCCACCACGCCTGTCTAATTTTTTTTGATTTATTATAGAAACAAGGTCTCGCCATGCTGCCCAGGCTGGTCTCAAGCCAGTGGGCTCAGGCAATCCTCTCGCCTCTACCTCTCAAAGTGCTGGGATGAAAAGCATGAGCCACCACACCCAGTCTGCAAATCCATTCTCAAACACGGGTAGACGTGCCAATCACACAGCATTGCTTTTCAGACCACTCTCTTCATCCATAGGGGTTACGGCATTGGGACGCGACTCGTGGAAGACTTTTTGGCTCGATCCTGCGTGGGAAGATGCCATAGTTATTCAGAAATTGCGGACATCATTGCCCAGGTAAACATATTTTTATCTCTGTCCACGTTTTGAGAATCACCGATTCTTTCCGAGTTTGGTGGTTTTCTGTTCTGACTGGCCAGATTCCATTGGTGTTCATTGTTAGGTGCTGAGAAAGGGGATTCTGATTGAAAAGCAATTTATTTCAGCACAGAGATATAAAGCTCCTGGGACCTGAGAGATGCATTTAAGCACCTATAGATTTTCCTGACTATGAGAGTCTGTGTGTATCCCACCTTGGGAAGAGCATTTCAAGAAGGTAACAGAAGGGGATGAATAGGGTCACCTTGCAGACATATGTCCCATGCCAGCTTCTTTTTTTGAGTTGAAGTCTCACTCTGTCGCCCAGACTGGAGTGCAGTAGCATGCTCCCGACCACTGCAGCCTCGACCTGCTGGGCTCCAGCAATCCTTCCACTCAGCCTTCCAAGTAGCAGGAACCACAGGCGCGCACTACCACACCTGGCTAATTTTTTGATTTATTGTAGACGTGAGGTCTCGCCAAGTTGTCCAGGCAGATCTCGAACCTGCGGGGTCAGGCAATCCACTCACCTCAGCCTCCCAAAGCGCAGGATTACAGGCTGAGCCACCGAGCCTGGCCTGCCAGCTTCTTTACAGAGTCATTTTCACACAGGGAAGGAGGTTGTCTTTGGTTCATCTGGGAGTGCTGTTGCAGTCATATCCAGAGCAATGTTTTCCCAAGAGAAAGATAGAGCTTCCTGTAAATGTATGTGTTCTAAGAACTTCCACAGCCCTGATGTGTAGGAGATAACTTGGAACCACTCAGGACTGGCTCAAACTTATGAGATAGAAAATTGGGAGATGCATCTTTAGACAGTATTTCTTTAATCTGCAGGTCTGTGGTTATCAATTTAGTGTGTTAATCTGTGAACAACCAAGAATGTATGCATGGATAGGTTGTGGTGAGCCGCCTCCAGGTTCACACAGTGGCCAGATAGTCCATCACGCTCTCTTCTCTCATGGTTTCTACTGCTGTCAACCATGACCACACTACATCTTCACATGAGTGGCTGCAGCTCTTTTGCATAGTGCTATCAGATTCCAAATTCAGGCTTACATACTTTTTGTCTTTCATCCTCGCAATAACCCTCGGAAGTAGGCAGAATTGGAGTTATTATCCCTATTTTCCAGAAAAGAAAACTGAGTCCCAGAAAGAACATGATGAACACTGAATAAATGTATGTGTGGAAAAAAATTCTACATTGAAAATACAATTCAAATGAGAGATTTTTTCACTTATTGGTATTATTACTGTTACTATATCACGGCTGGCAAATCACATGGCTGACGTTGTTATCCTGGTGTCTTCCAACCTTAACATAGTGAGATTGCCATATCGCAATGTGGGTTTTTTTTAAAGTTTGTTCCCATATTGGCAAAAATATAAGTAAGATCCTGAAACAGTGGTTTAAAACAATAAAATAAAATGATGTTTAACTACACCTATTCTAAGGGCAATAATACAAGAATACTAGCTGGTTTTTCTTTTTCCGTGTCGTGTTTTAATGACGAAACTGAGACTAGCTGTTTTAATGGAAATAGTTTAAGTCTATAAACAGAGATGATTGTATTTTGTTGTATTTCAAGTTGATAGCTCCCCTAGATCTTTGGATTAGAAGACCGCAGTATCCCTGTAAGAAGATGGTCTGACTGATTTGAGAAAGATTCTCCCTCGACCTTTACCCTAATATCAAATATGAACTATGTCAGGGAAAGCCAAGCTTGCACATTCTCAAGGCAGTAGAACATTGGCTCACAATTTGAAAAATCATATCATGTGGAAAATAAAACCAGACTCATGCATTGAGGGATGCTAGTTGGGCTTTGATGTCTGAAGGAGGAAATAATCCCAGGGGTGATTAGAGATTCCATTCTGAAGATATGTGAACACACCCAGGGAATGTTTCATTTCTTCTGGATGTGTTTCTATATGTGTGGTACATGTATTTTTCCATTTAGTAATATATTCACTTATGTTTAAAATGAGATGACTAACAACAAAAAAATCTGTTGAAAAAAGAGCATCAGCCAACGAGAAGTTGGGAGACACAGCCGCCTCGCTGGGAGCCTGGAATTACCTCCTGTTGTGGTAGAAGACCAGCATTCCTGACCCTTGCCCAGTACCCTTGGCCCGGAGAGTGTTGGTGATCTATACTGCTGGGCATTGGTGAGAGCAGTGCAGGGGCAGAGGAAGGTCCCTGCTCCTTCTCACCATCTCTCTTCCTGGTTCTGAGGGCAGAGCTCAAGTCATGTAAAGCTGCAGAAGAGACTCAGGAGGAATAGATGAATCCATGGGTTCACCTTAATCAGAGCACTGTAAGGAAACAAGGTCACTCCAACAGAAAACAAAAGTAATCACTTTTTACGCCAGGATCATGAACCTCAAATAATTCATGAAAGTCCTTCCAGAGGTGGCTGAGACAATTAGTAGTTTCAGGTAAAACTCTCCTGTGACCCGTGGCCTTGGTCAGCACACCTTCCTTCCCTACTAGCTACAGGATAATTACAAAGCTGAAAGCCAAAATTAAATATGCCAACCCCGAAGCTCCTGTTTATGTGGGGTGTAAAGTCACAATTAGTACTTGGTGGGTCCTCAGTGCAACTCAACTGTCAGAAAAGCAAAGGGGAAGGGGAGTGGGGGAGGAGGGACAGCAAAATTCAGCCGGGAGTTGTTCCTCACGTAACAACGCATCTAAGGGATCCTGAGGCCCTTCACAAGGGACCCTGCATTTCACCTGATCATGAAGTCTTCAAGTGTGCCATGGGTCCTCTGGGTAGTTAGTGAGGAGACCACATGGAGGAACAGATCTCTGGCACTCACACTGCACGCTGCACACTGCACACTTCCCAGTTGCTTTGAGGAGAAGGGTCGTGTAGCTTCAGGGATGAATAACATTCCCCTTTCTCTTGTTTTTCTTCCTTCTTTTCCTCCCAAAGGAGAAGTCTCTGTCATTAGGGTCTCTGGCAAATCCTTGGGACAGGTGGTAGACTTCCAATTGCGCCATCTAGTGATCGGAAAAGAAATCCCCTGACAGAAGCCAAATCGAAAAAAATTCTTTAGTTGGCCTTGCATTTTACATAAAAGAGATGAAAGGTTCATCTAACGTCAACTTTCTGCAACATTAAAAAGCATACATTTAAAAAATAAGATTTCATTATTTGCAAGTTAACTTTTTATTGTGGGTGTTTTAAAGTTCAACTACAGATGTTAAGATATACTTATTTTCTTAATTATAAAAGGCAGTGTTATAAAAGATATTTTAAAATTTTAATAGTACAGAGATTTTCTTCATAAAAGTTGAAAGTAATTCACACCTATTATCCATGGCTCCCTTACAAGAACTTTGTGAAGTGAAAAGAACATCTGTCTTTAGCCCCATTTTACAAATAGTGCAACTGAGACTTGCTTGATATCACCAAGGACACATAGTTAAGAAAAGCTAACTTAGAATTTAATTCTTCCATCCTTATTCCTGTGCTTTTTCCAAATATGAATTGTTTCTTTAAAAATATACATTTAGGCCAGGCGTGGTGGATCACGCCTATAATCCCAGCACTTTGATAGACCAAGATGAAAGGATTGCCTAAGCCCATGGGTTCAAGACCAGCATGGACAACCTGGCAAGATCTCATCTCTACAATAAATTTTTAAAAAAATAGTCAGAAGCTGGGCTCGGTGGCTCAGCCTGTAATCCCGCGCCTTTGGGAGGCTGAGGTGAGTGGATTGCCTGAGTCCGTGGGTTCGAGACCAGCCTGGGCAGCGAGACCTCATCTCTACAATAAATCAAAAAATCAGCTGGGCGTGGTAGC